TACCACAGCCTTGCCCTCCTGGGCTTAGGCCATTCGTCCACCTCAGCCTCCATAGTAGCTGGGATTGCAGGTGTGTACCACCATGCTCAGCTATTTTTTTTTATTTTTTGTAGAGATGGGGTCTCACTATGTTGCCCAGGCTAGTCTCAAACTCCTGGCTTCAAGCCATCTCCCCGTCTCGACCTCCCAAACTGCTAAGATTACAGGCGTGAGCCACCGAACTTGACCAAGCACTGGGTTGTTTTAAGGTTCAAATGAGAATAACTGTCCTACCACAGCACCTGGTGGGTAGAAAGTGCTTAATAAATGCTGACTATTATTATTTTCACAATATACTTTGAAAGCTTGGCTACAAATAGTGCCAGCTCTTAGGAAAGTTTTTCTAAGGGTCCCTCCATGCTTATGATATTTATACACCCTGGGTTTAAAAGTGCTTTTCATTAGTTTTCCTACACATTCCAAGAGAAATCTCTTCTTACTCTTTTGGAGTTCTTAGATACAAAGTAATTATCCTTTTTTGCTTATTGTATACATATTACTGTCACTACCCTGATTTTATTATATCATATCATCTAGCCAGTTTGCCAAATGTCAAAAACAATGATTTCATTACAAAAATTCCTCTTCAGTCCCCACCATATAACTATGGAAAACTGAATTCTAAGCCCAAGCCCCTTTGCAAATAAGTTTTGGCTAAGTCTGTCTGATAAAACTGGAGGAAACTGAGGCAGGGGAGTAACTTCAATTAAGACTCTGCCAGCCTAGTTTGAATGAGCCAGACTTTAATTAGGATACAAGGAGCAATTCAGAAATAATCTCAGGGAATCAAAAACTGAATGATGAACTTAAGCTTTACTGTACAGAGAAGTCAGTTTTTCTGTTGGAGAGCGGGGGCATTTTAGAGCTTCATGAAATGGAAACAGACAGGAATTACTTTTAAAGAAATGTGTGCATTTACATCTAATATTTCTACCTCAAAGAATGCTTTTGAAGCAGTCACAGTTCCACATGGCTAACTCCTAGTGAATGATGTTGTTTGTCATTTGAAATATTAATATAAAGTTTTGCCCCAAGTGCTCTGGTAGAGGGAATGCCAGGAAGTTTCTGAATAAAACAAATGTCTGGGTCCAGCATTTTTCAGTTATTATTTTCTCCCCTCCTCTTATTTTTACTCACATTCTTTTTTGGTACATGTTCTTCCAACTGTGTTTTAGAAAATATGTATAATGATTCCAAGTACCATCCATCATCTGGGCTATTTTTCTGGCTCGATTGTACAATGTTGTGGTAAAGGATTCAACGTCAGTAATAGTGACTGGAGGAACTCAAAAGAAAACCTATACTGAAGCATTTTACTAGAAAATTAGTTGCAAAAACACATCACTTATGGAAATGACATGTACATTTATTAAAACAGTGTTAAAAATCCAAGTCCTCCACCTGTCCCCCCTCTTCTTTTTTTTTTTTTTAACATTTTAACCATTTTTAAGTATATAGTTCAGTGGTATTAAGTACATTTGCATTATTGCATACCTTTGTCTCCCCTTTTAAAAAAATATATTTTACAGACAAGATCTTGCTATGTTGCCCAGGCCGGTCTCAAGCTCCTAGTCTCAATCCTCCTGGGATTATGGTGTGAGCCACTGTGCGCCTGGCCGACCCTTACCTCTTTGATGAAGAATCTAGGCCTCATCTTTGTACCAGTAGATTTTGGAGGAGTATAGCAGTCCTTTGCAGAAAGAAGGACAGATCATCCTGAGAAACAGCCTTGACCTTCCCTAGAGCACTTAGGTAAAAGTGTCTGACATCCACAAGTACTTGTAGCTGGAGAAGGAATCATGGCAGTGCTGCAGTGGGGATTCAAAAACTAAAACATAGCCGGGCTCGGTGGCTCAGCCTGTAATCCCAAGCCTTGGGAGGCTGAGGTGAGTGGATTGCCTGAGCCCGCGGGTTCAAGACCCACCTGGGCAACTTGGCGAGACCTCATCTTTACAATAAATAAAAAAATTACCCAGGCGTGGTAGCACGTGCCTGTAGTTCCAGCTACTTGGAAGGCTGAGGCGGAAGGATCACTGAAGCCCAGCAGGATGAGGTTGTGGTGGCCAGGAGCGGCCACTGCACTCCAGTCTGGGCGACAGAGTGAGACTCCAACTCAAAAAAAAATTTTTTTAAAAACTAAAACATGACTTTGGCTGTCCTGTGCCTGTATTTGGACTTCAACTTTGACTTTTTTAGATTCCAGGCATGAAGTTTCTTGAAAATTTCCATAAATAAATAAGGTTGCACAAGGACAGCCTCCTCTTCCTCAGTAACATGTAGTTTTGGGGGGTTTCTTTGGTTTGTTTTTTGTTTTTGTTTTTTTTAGTTGGAGTCTCATTCTGTTGCCCAGCTGACTGGAGTGCAGTGACACACTCATGGCTACCGCAGCCTCAACCTGCTGGGATCAGGTGATCCTTCCGCCTCAGCCTTCCAAGTAGCTGGAACTGCAGGCACATGCCACCATGCCCAGCTAATTATTTTTTTGATTTACTGTAGAGATGAGGTCTCACCAAGTTGCCCAGGCAAGTCTCGAACCCTGGACTCAGGCGATCCTCTCAACTCAACCTCTCAAAGTACTGGGATTACAGGCATGAGCCACCATGCCCAGCTAGCACACAGTAATTTAGTGACAGTTATCTGTATAATAACAGGTCATGACAAAGTCACAGCCTTAATGAGCCTAACAGGAAAAATGACTATGTACATTAATACATACACATAAACCAATGGTAGTACAAGTTGTGAAGACAATGTGTTGCTACACGAATTCAGGAAGATGTGTAATTTCTGCAAGCTGGAATGATTTTTGCCTACTTGTTACAGTGACTCTGCATCCACTATTATACATTTGAATTACAGGCCAGGCACAGTGGCTCGTGCCTGTAATCCCAGCACTTGTGAGGCCAAGATGGGAGGATTGCTTGAACCCAGGAGTTTGAGACCTGCCTTGGCAACATAGCAAGATTTCATCTCTACAAAAAATTCAAAAATTAGCTTGGTGTAGTGGCTCATGCCTGTAGTCCCAGCTGCTCAGGAGGCTGGATTGCCTGAGCCAGGAGGCTGTAGTGAGCTGTGATCATGCCACTGCACACTAGCCTGGGCAACAGAGTGAGACTCCCAACTCAAGCAAACAAAAAGTGAATTGAAATACTATGAAATAAAATGTCAATTAAAAATCATATATATATATATACATATATATATATGCAAAATTCTACATTATGCACCAAAGGAAAAGAAATCCAAGGATTATTTAATTTCAAAGCCAGTCTGTAAAACTGTTTGTGTTAATGCCACACTATAGCTCCACTGTAGGTAAAAAGAAATACCCAACATCCTTTGTCAGTCTGGGAAAATAGGTTCTGAGTTATGAGAGCTATGACTAACGAGTGCCCCTGAGGAATGCATTTCTCTGTTAAACACACTGACCTTGTACTCTGAAGCCTTTGATGTTCTTGAGGGCAGTTGGACTCATTCTGCATTATTTTCTTCTTTTTCTGGAGGATGTACAGCTACTCTGGTAAAACAAAAATAAAATAAAATAAAACTTCCTGTGGATGAAATGGAAATACCTTGCAAAATATAAGCCTCTTGTATGAAAGTGAAATGCCCAGAATTTCTCACTAATGACCAAAGTTGGGAGACCTATGGCTTATGGAGCATATGTCATCTTCACTTCCTATGAATGAGACCAATGTGGAAATTGAAAAATAGAGCCCCACATTGATAAGATAGAAACCTACTACTAAGGCTTTGCAAGATTTATCAAGAAAGTGGTCAGCCCAGCCTGGGCAACATAGTGACACCTTGACTCTTCAAAAAAAAAAATCAAAATTAGCCAGGTATGGAGGCACGCACCTGTAGTCCCAGCCACTTGGGAGGCTGACTGAGTGGAAGGATGGCCTGAGCCTGGGAGGCTGAAGCTGCGGTGAGCCATGATGGTACCAGTGCATTCCAGCTTGGGCAACAGAGCAAGACCTTGTCTCAAAAAAAAAAAAAAAAAAAGGAGAAGAAAAAAGGTGGCCAGTGACTTAAAATGCTGGCTAATCACAACCAGAAGCATAGAAAAATGCATTCATTCAACCATTGTCTGCTTATTAATACAAACCTCTAGTTCACACAGTGAAGCTTAGTTGACCTGAGGACAACACCATCTGTCTTTCTGACTAAATTCAAACAGTGGCTTTAACTGACTTTTCTGAATTAAGAGCATTTGGGCTCCACCTGTGTGCTGAGAGGTCTGTTGGGCTCCACCTGTGTGCTGAGAGGTCTGTTGGGGAATACTAACCTATCAGTGATTTTTAAGACTGATTCAAACTCCTTGACCAGCAGACATTAGAGGATGAATGAGAAAGTGGAACACATTAAGCAACTTAGAATGGAGGAAAATAACAGCATTAGAGATCACTGTACTTTTGACATTTTATAGTATGTAAATTATAATTAATATGCAAATGGTCACCGTTTACTTGATTCAAGAACTCAAAACTTTTCATAATGGGGTTGAAGCACAAAGTACAATATTTATAGTCAGAGCATGGTCTTTACTTTCAATAATGATTATTCCGTCAGTCATGGTGACTTATGCCCATAATCCCAGCATTTTGGGAGGCCAAGGTGAGAGGATACTTGATCCCAAGAGTTTGAGACCAGCCTGAGCAACATAATGAGACCTCATCTCTACAAAAAAAAATCAGGTGTGGTAGTGTACACCTGTAGTCCCAGCTACTTGGGAGGCTGAGGATGGAGGATCACCTGAGCCCAAGAGATCAAGGCTACAGTGAGCCATGATCATGCTACTACATTCCAGTCAGGGGGAAAGAGTGAGACTCTAACTCAGAAATAATAATAATGGTTATTCCCTTTGGGCTGGACAGCAAGTTTGACTCTAGGTTCTAACGAATTTCCAGTGCCACGCCAAGGCATTTGACTATTCTTTCTTATTCTCCACTGTCTTGCAGACCAGATGACGTGCTTCTGCATCGCACGCATGATGAGATTGTCCTCCTGCACTGCTTCCTCTGGCCCCTGGTGACATTTGTGGTGGGCGTTCTCATCGTGGTCCTGACCATCTGTGCCAAGAGCCTGGCAGTCAAGGCAGAAGCCATGAAGAAGCGCAAGTTCTCTTAAAGGGGCAGAGGCTTGTAGAAAGCAAAGCACAGAAGCTGCACCCCTCGGCACACGTCCACCTGCGGAGCCCGTGTTTCTGGGCGCAGGAGATGGGAAGGGCCATGGCAGGGCCCTGAGAGGCTCGTCCCTCAGTGGCAGCAGAAACAGGCACAACTGGAAGACTTGGAACCTCATAGCTTATATTCCATGTATTGTAGCGATGGCTAAAGGGTCAACTCTAAGCTGTATGGAGTAGCTATTTCAAAAAAACCCAATAAGAAGTTAATTTTCTTTGGAAAGTAACAGTACATTATTTGTACAGTGTAGTATACAAACCATTATGATTTATGCTACTTAAAAATATTAAAATAGAGTGATCTGTGTTCTTTTCTATTTCTTTTTTATGCTTAGAACACCAGGGTTAAAAAAAAAAAAAAAAGAAGGGGAAGGGGGGGTCTCAGAGTTTTATTTGCTTCCACTAAATTAAACTTTTACTTGATAATAATGATTCTTGCTGAAGTCTTAACCTTACTGTGTAACACTCAGTTTCCACTATTAAAGAGGACCTTTTAAGCCTGATGCTGTGGCTTACACCTCCAATCCAAGCACTTGGGAGGTCAAGGTGGGAGGATTGCTTGAGCCCAGGTGTCAGAGACTAGCCTGGGCAACATAGCAAAACCTTGTCTTTACGAAAAATCAAAGTATTAGCTGAGCATGGTAATGTGCCTGTAGTTCCAGCCACTCAGGAGGCTGAGGGAGAAGGATAACCTGAGCCCAGGAGGTCAAGGCTGCAGTGAGCCATAATTGTCCCACTGTGCTCCAGCCTGGGCAACAAAGTGAGACCCCGACTCAAAAATAAATAAGTAAACAGACTAGAAAAAAAAAGAGGATCTTTTGACTTCTTGAAAAAAGGAATACTGCACTAAAAAGTCAGTCTCTAGTTACTTCTATGTCTCTTAAGCAAGGGACCCTCAAAGATTGGGAAAACATATCCTCCAACACCTGCCTTTGCCTGTTTATTATTTTTCGTCAGATTACATCTTAAAAGAGAGATGATTCTGAAGAAGTCCTGTCCTAGCCCTAAGAGTACTGGGATCCTTTATTCATCCGTTACTATTTTTTATGGATTTTTATCTCTGTGCAATAGAATAGACATGGTGTGAAGGACACTCTCCAGCTTTGTTAAATGCTGTTCTCACTTTTTTTTTTTCCTTTTAGGTCAGGAGAAAAAAATCAAAAGCAGTACAAGCATATTATTTTCTTTGTCCTTGCCTTGATTTTATGGGTGTTAAGATAGGAAGATGGCTGCAGTCGTTCAGTGTGCTTGGGCAAACGTGGAGATGCAACCCAGCTCACACCACTGCTGCTGCTGAGCTTTCTGTGCCTTTATCAAAAGTTTGTGGAGGGGACCATACTTCTTTGTATCTGTTCATAAACTCAAATACCAGATATCAATCACAGGCCTCAGTAATGAACAAATCTACCCTTTTCGTTTACCAGTTAGAATTAGACCTTTGTTTAGATGAGATGCACATCTTTAATGGAGGAATAACTGACAATATAACTTTCTGCTTTCTGTGGATATTCTTCAGACATGCTTCTAGCAGAATAAAGGCGAATTGGAATTTAAGGACAAGTTCCCCTCAGTTATTTCCACAGGGCTCTAAAAAAGATATATTAGTGGAATGATGATTTTCTGACTCTTTCATACACGAATGTTTTCTTAATTTTAGAATATAAGTGATTGAGAGTCATCTTTGGAAGGGTGGTGGGTGAGTATGATCTTTTTTGTTGTTTTTTAAAAGCAGGGGTCTCACCATGTTGCCCAGACTGGAGTGCAGTTACATGATCATAGTTCACTGCAACCTCAAACTCCTGGGCTCAAGCAATCCTCCTGCCTCAGCCTCCTTCGTAGCTGGGATTACAGGTGTGTGCCCTGCACCCAGCGCCAATTATTTTTTTTCTAATTCAAAGGTTACAGGTTTCACTGTGATAAAGGCCTTGAACGCACTATTTATGACATCCTTTGACGCAGCTATAGTGCCTTGACTTCAAATCCAGTTTCCTGTTGGCAGCATCCTTGTTGTCTTAGCAACACAGTGAACTATTCTGAAGCACAGAGTAACAAGAAGTTGGGAATCACAGAAAATCATCTTTGCATCACATTGTGGGAGATGAAGTCTACTTTATCCATGTTATCTTTTTTTGTGTGTGTGTGTGTTGGAATCTCACTTTGCCACTCAGGCTGAAGTGCAGTCACATTATCACAGCTACCACAGCCTTAACCTTCTGCTCAGGAGATCCTTCCACCTCATCCTTCCACGTAGCTGGAACTACAGGCGCATGCTACTATGCCCAGCTCTTTTTTTTTCTTCTTTTGACTGTAGAGGAGGTCTCGCCAAGTTGCCCAAGCTGGCCTCAAACCTCTGGGTTCAGCCAGTCCTCTCGCCTTTCCCTCTCAAAAGTGCTAGGATTGCAGGTGTGAGCCACTGTGCCCAGCCTCTCCATTTTATCTTTATCCAATTATCTAGGAATAATTGATTTCCGAGAGTAGGTGAAAATAATGCATTGGTATATGTATATGTTGCTAAATACAAATCTAAGTTTTCATTTAGCACTTTGATACTCATACATTTATGTTAACAGAATGCCGTTTAGACCCAAAGAGTATACACAATAGTATTCTGTAGGTTGATTTTTGGAAAAGGAGAAACATACTGAATTTTTGAGGTCACATGTACTTTTTTTTTTTTGAGTTGGAGTCTCTGTTGCCCAGACTGGAGTGCAGTGGCCGCTCCCGGCCACCGCAGCCTCGACCTGCTGGACTCCGGCGATCCTTCCACCTCAGCCTTCCAAGTAGCTGGAACTACAGGCACACGCTACCACACCCGGCTAATTTTTCTTAATTTTTATTGTAGAGATGAGGTCTCGCCAAGTTGCCCAGGTGGGTCTTGAACCCGCAGGTTCAGGCAATCCACTCACCTCGGCCTCCCAAAGTGCTGGGATTACAGGCTGAGCCACTGAACCCGGCCTGGTCACATGTACTTTTAAGGTCTTACTTGCTTATAGTCAGTTAAATTTGATTCTCCTTATTTATACTTGTTAAAGGTAAATGCCAAAGGAACAAGGAGAGGACATTTTGAGGTTACAAAGGATAAAGAAACTGACCCTCTTAATAGTTTCATTTTCTTTTTGTGTAAGTCAGAAAATGGAGTAAGCTGCTGTAACAAAGAGACCCTAAAATATGACAGCTCATGTAAGATAGAAGTTTATTTCTTCCTCAAAATTCAGCAATTCCGAGGTAGTTAATAAGTCCAGGAAAGGGCAACTCTGCTTGACAGGGTAATTAAGGGACCTAGGATTCCTCTATCAACCTTGCTGGTTCTTTCATTACCAAGGGTGGTGTCCATCCTGTGGTCAAAGCTGACTCAGGTCAGCCTGAGAAAAGAGGATGTTGGGAGCAAGCTATTTCCTTTTAAGGAAATTTTACCCATCACTTCTGCCCACAGTCCATTCATGAATACTTACTATGCTATACCTAGCTTCAAGGAAGGCTGGAACATGATTCTAGGATATGTATTCTACTAAAACTCAAGGGGGAGGATTCTACTACTAAAACTAAGAAGAGAGTGCATACTAAAGTTAAAAGTCAGAATGATAGGAGTGAGTGACCCATGCCATGATGAAAGTTGCTCAGCAGACATGACAAAGATCCCTTGTTCTGGCAGGGAATAACTTACTTGGTGAAACCAATTACCTTGTCCATTGTCTTCTGTGGCCTCTAGTTTTATTTCTAGGTAATTCTTGCTCAGCTTCCATGGCCACATCTGAAACTTTCGAGGTGCACTATGGCTTTCTCAGCCCTCTGCTTGCCGGTACAGATGTGTAGACCTAGATTGCCTTAGAGGCTGAACAAACATAGGTGTTCATAGGCCAGGGTGATATTTCATTTGACTGTAATAACAACTTCAGCCCCATTTTTGATGTTTGGTTGCTGACAGCTTTCAAGCCTCACTGTTCTCTTCCCCTAATGCTCCACATCTGGGCAAGCTGATGAAAGCATGGATGCCTCCTCCTTTGGCCCCAGTGGAAAGTTCAGATCACACAGGCCCTGACCTGCATGCAGGAACCTTCAATAATAAAAACCAAACCAGTAGATCTCTTTCTGGACCTACTTGGGAACCTGGTCTATCTCCCTAGAAAGTCTCAGTATGTGAGTAATAAACTTTTTCTTATCCGCTTGGTGTGTGTGTGTATATATGGTATTATCAGTCTCAATATCTGAACTGAATTCAGAGTAATTTACTATGAATTTTGGGTGGAGGAGGAGGGGTTCATCAGACATCTTAAGGGTGATATAGCATTGGTGACATCATTTCATCAAAAACAGGTTTCTGGTCCATTTACTTTCACAGCATTTACTTTCACAGTCATTTACTTTCTGATTATAGTTCTTTTTTTTTTTTTTTGAGTCAAAGTTTCATTCTCGCCCAGGCTGAAGTGCAGAGGCACACTCAAGGCCACCACAGCCTCGACCTGCTGGGCTCTGGAGATCCTTCCACCTCAGCCTTCCAATTAGCTGAAACTACAGGTGCATGTTACCACGCCCAGCTAATTTTTGATTTATTGTAGGTCTTGCCATGTTGCCCAAGTTGGTCTTTTTTTTTTTTTTTTGAGTTGTAGTCTCACTCTATCACCCAGACTGGAGTGTAGTGGCTGCTCCCGGCCACCGCAGCCTCGACCTGCTGGGCTCCGGCCATCCTTCCTCCTCAGCCTTCCGAGTAGCTGGAATTACAGGCATGCGCTACCATGCCCGGCTGATTTTTTGATTTATTGTAGAGATGAGGTCTCGCTGCCCAGACGGGTTTCGAACCCGCGGGCTCAGGCAATCCACTCACCTCAGCCTCCCAAAGGCATGGGATTACAGGCTGAGCCACCAAGCCCGGCGCCCACGTTGGTCTTGAACCCCTGGGCTCAGGCAGTCCTCTCGCCTCACCCTCCCAATGAGTTTAAGTGGAATTGCAACACCCTTAATCTGGTCTTTTTGCTGAGCTGACTACCGTTGTCTGACCAGTAATATTTAATGAAGAATATTAAGAAAGACTGCATAATAATCACACTTCCTGCTGTTAGGGAGACAGAAGCAGTTGAATGTCAGGGCATAGGCACATCTTCTGTAAAAAGCCATGTTACCAGCTGGGAGAGGTGGCATGCACCTGTAGTTCCAGCTACTTGGAAGGCTGAGGCAGAAGGATCAACTGAGTCCAGTAGGTTGAGGCTGCAGTGCCCATGAGCTTGTCACTGCACTCAAGCCTGGATGACAATGAAATTCCAAATCAAAAAAAAAAAAAAAAATTAAAAACCTATGTTACCTACTTGCAAACTT